TCCTATGAAAGTGTACAGAAGTAAAATAAAGGCAGAATAATAATATTAGTGTGTGCAGGTAAATTATTAAGAGGGCTGCCAAATCAAGTTTTATCATTGAGCCCAAAACTACAGTATAATAACAATAGTACTGTAGGTACAGTCTTTACATTGTCCTACAATTCCACTGCGGACTGTACAATACTGTATATAGTATAGAAATTTATAATTGATAGAGACATTGTACAGCACTGTACCGTACAGTACGTTGCAGAAATTTGGAATTTGTTACAGTACTGTATACTGTACCGTAAGACAGAAGTAACTCTATGACTACTGTATACTATATACATTAGTATACAAGACAGCAATCTGCTTTACATCTAGAGTACAGTATACTGCACAATATCTCTTTCAGTTACTTTATTATCGAGAGGACCCTGACAGTGCATGGAGTACAATATAGAATTGTACAGCGCCTTTTAATTTCATTTTAGATACTTTAACTGGGAAAAAATGAAACTAAAATTAACGTGCGAATACAGTAGTTTATGGCAATATCTACTAAAATATCTGATACGAAACTAATGTTGCTGTAGAGTACAGTACAGTATATGATGGACACTGTTCGGACAGTCGGACATTACGACCTCATGTATACTATACAGTGTACTGTATAGTGTATAGTAGGCCCCAGCCATAATAATCCCGATTACTCAGATACTCCGCGTAAATAGCTTAAACGATGATGTATTATTCTAAGAGTCTGTACCTCAAATTTCATGCGAGTATTCAAAGAGTAAGACGTTGCACCAACGCAATGAAAGTTAGGTACTACCGTCTAAAAACTTTTTCTGACTTACGTAAATCTTCCTACTCTTAGAATAATGTATCATCGTTTAAGCTATTTACGCTGAGTATCTGAGTATTAGGGGTTATTATTGCTGGGCCTACCGTACAGTACACTGTACAGTGTACAGTGTACAGTACAGGACCATATAATGCTGTTCCAAACACTTCTATTTGTGATAATGTCCATGAGCGGTTGCTCGATTCTGTAATTCGCTTGTTTTTTCTAAATTAAGTAATATTCAATTGAAATCGAATCTATTCTATTTTATCAACATCTGCTTCAAAACAGTTAAATAAAGTCATGAATGTTCTTAAATTACAATTATGCTCAATGATTAAGAAAAGTAGATGCACAAGAACTACTGTTTTCTACTGTAAGTAAGTCAATTTTTCGAGATTTTTGAAAATATCCGTCTGTCTGAAGAGTCCCTGTCCTAACCATACAGTTTCCTCCCGATGATCCTTATATATGTAGGTAGGCATTCTGTATCATAGATACTGCACTAATCTTAGCAACTTTCAAAATATTACTACAAAGCAGTGGTATCATTCTGGATTTCCTAAATAGCATAGCTATTCTGTGTGCTGAGTCATACTGCACTTACTTTCTGAAATGTCAGTTGAAATATCAGCACAAGCAGTATGGTGTATAAAGTAAATTAAAGCTCCGCGCCTTGGAGGGGAAAGAAACGACAAAAATGGGAGGGATTATGTAACCCCTGTAAAAGCTTTGAATAAAATATTATGACCTCGGGCGCAGAATCAAAGTGCAATTCAAGTAACATAATGCAAAACAACTAGTTGTCTTGAATTAATCTATTTATACTTTCAATTTAAATTAAATTTAAAATACAGACAAGGAATCCATTATATCACATCCAGTGTTCTTTCTACAGTACAGTACATCACGTTTGATATTACGTAATTACCTTGCCGCTGCATGTAATGCTATGGAGGACAAGATCAGGGATTTCAATTTTGCTGGTATGTGACAAGTGTCTCAAAATCAGAAATGATTGAAATCCCATAACTTATTAAGTTCACTTTATTATATAAACTACTTCTTCAACCAAGAACAAGACTAACTAACTCTGGGAGAAGAAATTTCCCGCTCATGTATATCATGATGAAACCCTGCTTACATCTATAACTTCTGATTAATCTAGTATTAAATTACTTGCATAATCTCTGATGTCCAATCATCTAAATAAGATATTCTTAATTAAAGCTATAATATTTACTGTAACTATTAACACGGATACGCACTTAACACAATCTCCTGATTTCAGTTAATCTACAATCTCGCACATACAGTGTCAATCTTACATTTTGATATATCACTTAGCGACTTTCTGCAATCGATTACGCTATTTCGAGCCCTGTACTACATGTTCATATTATAAATTATTATCGTTCAATAATCTTCAAGTTATCTATAGCTATTAGTTACTCTATGCTTCATGTTAACTGTCAGAGCAGCAATTCTAGGGCTTATGCTGTGTTGACCGTCCTACATGAATGCTCGGTATGTCTGAAGTAATGACGGTAGTCCAATAATTGTTGCTGTTGGTGATTTTTTCGTATTTGATTCAATAACTATAATTAATTAACGACATAATCAAA